TGTCTGTGCCCATAATTGAAACCTGATCAGTGTCCATTTGTGCAACCTCATCAGTGTCCCTCAGTGCAGCCTGTCTGTGCCCATAAATGCAACTTATGAGTGCCCTTCAGTCCAGCCTTATCAGTGCCCATCAGTGCAGCCTCATCAGTGCCCATCAGTGCAGCATGTATGTGCCCATAAATGCAACCTGATCAGTGTCCATCAGTGCAACCTCATCAGTGTCCCTCAGTGCAGCCTGTCTGTGCCCATAAATGCAACTTATGAGTGCCCTTCAGACCAGCCTTATCAGTGCCCATCAGTGCAGCCAATCTGTGCCCATCAATGCAACCTATCAGTGCCTATCAGTGCAGCCTGCCTGTGCTCATCAATGCAACCTATCAGTGCCCATCAGTGCAACCTGTCTGTGCCCATCAGTGCAAACTATCAGTGCCCATCAGTGCAACCTCGTCAGAGCACATCAGTGAAGAAGAAAATTTACTTATTTGCAACATTTTATAACAGAAACTAATAATCGTTTTTCTTTTACCAACATTTTTGTTGTTTTTTTTTTGTTTGTTTAGCAAAAAAAAAAAAAAAACTTAATGGTGATTAAAGCCGGCGCTCCAGTCAAAGCTGAAAAAAACAAAATTCAGCAGTTTCAAAAACTGTAGCTGCTAACATTTAAAAAACAGCCACTTGCCTGTCCCAGGATCCAGTGGTGTGCTCATCGCAGCCGATTGCACCGGCTGTCCTCTCTTTCTGGCACTGGCATCTTCAGTGTGGGCACCCGGCTATGAAGCTTGCGGCTTCACTGCACATGTGCGAGTAGCGCTGCGCCTTATGAATAATCCCGTAGTCTTCTGCTACTGTCACATGTCCCAGAACAACACAGGGAGGGAGGGGGGAGGATAAAATTCAAAACACTAACAATGACATATAAAGCCATCCACAACACTGCCCTCATTTACATAACCGATCTTATCTCTAAATATCACCCAAACCGTACACTCCGCTCTTCGCAAGACCTCCTACTCTCTAGCTCCCCTGTCTCCTCCTCCCATGCTCGTCTCCAAGACTTCTCCAGGGCGTCACCCATCCTCTGGAACTCCCTACCCCAATCGATCAGACTATCACCTACTCTACTTGCCTTTAGGCGATCACTGAAAACCTATCTCTTCAGGGAAGCCTATCCCGCCCTCTGCTAATTCTGGAATCCTCCACTCTTCCAACCACTCCATCCCCCACAGTGACTACCTACTGTACCATTCACCCCTCCCTCCTAGATTGTAAGCTCCAAGGATCAGGGCCCTCAAATCCCTCTTGTATTGAACTGTATTGTTACTGTATTGTCTCCCACTATAATGTAAAGCGCTTCGCAAACCGTTGGCGCTATATAAATCCTGTATAATAATAATAATAACTTCTGCTTCCGATGGTCTAGGTCAGGGGTGGGCAACTGTGGCCCTCCAGCTGTTGTAGAACTACAAGTCCCATGAGGCATTGCAAAACTGACAGTTACAAGCATGACTTTCAAAGGCAGAGGCATGATGGGACTTGTAGTTCACCAACAGCTGGAGGGCCACAGTTGCCCACCCTTGGTCTAGGTGGTCGCAGCGAAATTGGGAGCGGGTACCTATCAAAATCAGGTACCCGCTCCTCAAAGATGCCAATTCCTCATGGGGAGTGGGGGACCAGTACTTAAAATGGAACGTCCCCTTTTTTTGGGTGGAGCTCCACTTTAAATACCCCCAAAAAGACAGCTCTATCTGTCTGATAAAAATTTCATATGGGTACAGTGTTGCATGACTGCACAACTGCCATTCAAACTGCGACAGCGCTGAAATCTGAAAATTGGCCTGGGCAGGAAGGGGGTGCCTGGTACTGAAGTGGTTAAACATATTACCTCTCTGCTCCTAACTACCTCTAACTGCCCCAATTATTGGGCCAGGCAGACTTTTTTGGATGAATGGGATCACATGAGCACAAGAAGATTTGTATCTGTTTATTTGTATCTTTATTGGAAGATCACAGACTTGTTATATTTTCCTTTTTTTTTTTTGGCGGTCCGTTCTTCTAGTTGACCCATTTCTTCTCATTCAGGAAGTCGGTGAATTTCTGGTAATATTCTTCAGCTTTCAAGGTCATCTGAGATGTTTTCTCTATTAAGAGGCCCCTGTTTAATGATAAGAAAAACAGAGCGTTAGAAATGTTTAAACAGTAAGAAACCCATTCAAGATTTGGAAAACTGATGAAAGTGAAACTGAACTGTAGCACTGGGATGGGCTTTTTAACTCTTTCACTGCCAGGCCATTTTTTGTGGGGGGAGGGGGGGTTGCACACATATTTAAAAAAAATAATTTTTTCCCTTGGTTCACACCTTAGCGTTTTCTGTAGCGTTTTGCAGAAACGCACTACAGTCCATTTAACATGATTTCCTATGCGACACGTTCACATCTCCACATTTTCACCCGGTGCATTTTTTGGAAAGGGTTAGGGACTTTTTTGAATGCAAAAATTTGCATTTTTTTGTTCTATAAGCTTCAATGGAAAGCATATTCATGGCTGCATTTTGTTGGATAGGTGTTAGGGACTTTTTTGAATGCAAAATTTCGTTTTTTTTTGGTTTGGTTCTATAAGCATCAATTGAAAATGCTGCAAAAAAGCATGTAGTGTGTTCTTTGCTGCGTTTTTGCTGAATTATAGATGCGTTTTGCATTTAACCTCCCTAGCGGTCTGATTGTTTTGCATGGAAATATGTCTTTTTTTTTTATTGTAGGCCTGTAATTTTTAGGAATAACTCACTGAAATCTGTCCGAACAAGAGTCTAGTAAAATTCCCGGGTATGTTAAAATTTGAAACACGAAATCATAAATTATAATAAAATAAATAATCATAAAAAATAATAATATAATATTAATACATTTAATTCAATAATATAATCAAACCAAAAAATATGAAATTTGAAATATAGCGCCAAGTTCGCACATCGCTGAGCAAAGTCGCAGAATCGTTTTCAGTGTCCCAAACGTTTGTCCCTCACACCACCCCCTGCACCTTTCTGTGTTCACATTCCCAGGTGTCCTTTTTGAGGACCGACAAAGATCTTTGACACGATACATTGAAAGGGAGGGGTAATAGGAGCGGGAGGCCGGGTAAGAGGCGGGGTGGTGGCAACAGTAAAAGGAGAGGGGTGCTAATGTTTCTCCACGTCAATTTTAATCCCTGAAAAAAAAAAAAGTTTTAACCCCTTCTCGCCTCCCAACCCTTTAATCTCCCTAGCGATCTGGATATGTCAGTACTTCTGTGCTGAAATCTGTCCGAACAAGAGTCTAGTAAACATCCCGGGTATGATAAAATTTGAAACACGAAATCATAAATTATAATATATTAAATAATCATAAAAAATAATAATATAATAATAATAATAAATTTAATTCAATAATATAATCAAACCAAAAACACTGAAATGTGAAATATAGCGCCAAGTTCGCACATCGCTGAGCAAAGTCGCAGAATCGTTTTCAGTGTCTGATGAGGAATTTCCCCCACGAATCATTATCACTCAATTCTGCAAGTGGTTCTGATTTACTATCGCTGTTCTCTAGCCGGTCTAAAACCGCTTTTGACCTAAAGGGACGCTTTTTGGACGCCATGGACGTTTCTCAGTTTCCAGGCAGAAAGAACAGTAAAAATGAAGGCAGGGCGCCGGACAAAGCACTCGGGACAAAATGTATGTGAAATGGTTTGATACAGCAATGTTATACTATGTGAGTTTAGTGTATTTAGTGAATGTCACTTTTTGACATTTTTAAATTTCCTGCCAGTTCCGTCCCCCGTACGTCCCGACGTCGCAGGGAACGGAACCCAGAAGACAGATGCCGGCATCGGCTCGAGGAGATGGCCGGGGATGCTGCAGGGGGGGGACATCGCGGGGGAGTGCAGGACAAGGTAAGTGCAGAAGAAATCCCGGAGCAGCGCTGCAGTGTATTCCCGAGTGTAGATCGGGGTTACCGCTTGTGGTGCTGAAACTTTATCCCGAGCTACACTCAGGAATACCGCCAGGGGGGTTAAATCTGCTGAGTAAGAAGGAAAAAAAAAATACAAAAACGCACAAAAAAACACGTTGAAAAAGCAAAACGCAATGCAGAAACGGATCAATATGTGTGAAGCTAACCTTAGGCATGAAAATTAGTTAAAACCCCCATGCATTAAATCATTTCTGAAATCAGATACCCTAGAGCACAGGTGGCAAACACTAGGCCCATGGGCTGCATCCGGCCACCAGCCTTGTCATGTGGCTTGTGAAGTGGTTTCCGAATGCCACCTGCAGGCTCTTACCCACTCTTCCTGCTGTCATTTGTGAAAAACAGGAACCTTCTGTGTTTACAGTGACAACTTTACGAGCAGCTACTGTAAATGTATATAAAAATAGCTAAACCACCGAATCAATGAAAAAATACAAAAACAAAGCAGGAAAAAAAAGAGAAAATCGAAAAGCCAGCCACACCTACACATTCTCATATAAATGTGCTACATAACAAAAACACACGATAGCAGTGCCAGACTTTTCTCATAATGTCATTAGAACCACTCAAATGTGACAATTTCCCCAATATAACTAAATTAGTAAAAAAAATACTTATACTCATAATCCTTCGAAATGAAAATCTTTCCCTCAGTCTCTTAGATTGTAAGCTCCAAGGATCAAGGCCCTCCTAACCCTCTTGTATTGAACTGTATTGTCTCCCGTTATATTGTAAAGCGCTGAGCAAACCGTTGGCTCTATATAAATCCTGTATAATAATAATAATAATATTCAATATCTTCTTTTTCATATACAATGCACCTCCACCATCAATAACACCAGCTGTGCCTCACCTGGAATTTTTGACCTCAGAAATAGCTAGCGTCCTCTAGGTGGACATATAGTGATGGATCACATCTTAGCCACCTCCCGTCCGCCATATAGTCCAATGACAGGTGCAAGGTGGTTCTCTCGTTCTGGAAGGACGTCATATGACGTCCTCCCATTCTCAGTGCGCATGCGTGGCTCCGGGAGCGCACAGCGCGGCGATTGGCGGTCCGCTGTGTCCCTCGGACACAGCGGATCACTGATCCACGGAAAGAGCCGAAGATGTCGGGTGGGTCATGTGATCAGCTGTGTCCAATCACAGCTGATCACATGTAAATAGGGAAATGCCGGTTATTAGCATTTCTCTCCTCACGAGCTGTCACGCTGACAGAGGAGAGGAGAGCCGGTAATCGGCTTTCCGCGGAGGGGACATGTACACTGATCATCAGAGCACTGATGATTATTGTGCCCTGATGATCAGTGTAGCCCCAGCAGTGCCACCTGTCAGTGTCCATCAGTGCCAGCTCTCAGTGCTCATCCATGCCACGTGCCAGTGCCCATCAGTGCCATATCAGTGCCACATATCAGTGCCTACCAGTGCACATCAATGCCACATATCAGTGCCCATCTGAGCTGCCTTTCAGTGTCACCCATCAGTGCCAGTCAGTGCCACCTATCAATGCCAATCAGTGCAACCTATCAGTGCTGCCAATCAGTGCAACCTATCAGTGCCAGCCTGCGCTGCCCATCAGTGCCCGTCAGTGCCACCTATCAGTGTGTATCAGTGCCGCCTAACAGTGACAGATATCAGTGCTGTGCTGCGTTTCAGTGCCCATCAGTGATGCCTGTCAACACCCATCAGTGCCACCTATCAGTGCCTCCTCATCAGTGCCCATCAGTGCCACCTATCAGTGTCCATCAGTGCAGCTTTTCAGTGCCCATCACTGCAGCCTCATTAGCGCATATCAGTGAAGGAGAAAAATCACTTATTTACAAAATGTTATAACAAAAACTAAGAAAAAAACATTTTTTCCCCAAAATTTTCAGTGGTTTTTGGTTTGTTTAAGCAAAAAAAAAAACCAGAGGTGATTAAATACCACCAAAAGAAAGTTCTGTCACAAAAAACGATAAAAATGTCATACGGGTACAGTGTTGCATGACCGCACAATTGTCATTCAAAGTGTGATAGCGTTGAAATCTGGAAATTGGCCTGGACTGGAAGGGGGTGTAAGTGCCCTGTAGGCCAGGGGTTAAGCTCCTTCTTGTAACTCCTCCTCCAATCAGCATACATGTAGAAAATACATAGCCATACCAATAGTGTTTTATCATTTAACCACTTGATTTTGTATTTCTGGGTAGGGGGAGCGCACGAGCCCTACCCGCACTGCCATTTGCTGTCAATCACCGGATCCCGGCTGGTGATTACCCGCTGGTGCCCGGTGATTACCGAGCTTCTCCGACGGGGAGTAGGTCTGTTTTATTTACTAACATTCCTCCTCCCTGTCAGCTCGGGCACACTGCTCTGGATGGCTTTTTTTTTAGCACTGATCACTGTATTGGTGTCACTGGGGATGTCAGTGACACCAAGTCCGTTCCCCCCGTGTCAGAATGTCCGCCACAGTTCCGCTATAAGTCACTGATCACCGCCAATACTAGTAGAAAAAAAAAAAAGAAAAAACAATCTAGTATCTATTCCGCTATTTGTAAGCGCTATAACTTTCACGTAAACCAATTCATTTACACGTATTAGGATTTTTTATGACGAAATTAGATTTTTTAAATTTTTTTACTGGACATGTTTAATAGCAAAAAGTCAAAAATATCGTTTTTTTTTTCTCAAAATTGTCGGTCTTTTTAAAAAAGGTATATTCTGGGTAGGATTTTTGTTTTTTTAAAGCATTTTTTAAATTTTAGTGTATTTTTAGGCAGGATAAAAAAACAAAACAAAATGCACACTATTGCCCTACTATGGGTACAAACAACAAATAACATACACCTATGTGGCCTCGCTACAATTGTCAGGAACAGGAGAATTTATTATGGGTCATTCTTTGGTGGTAAATTATAGGAAGAAATATACAGCTAACTTCAAAAAGGTAATTGATTTTGACTATTTTGGGCCAGATTTCCTTAGAAAAAAACAAAAAAAACTGATATTTGTTACCCTTTACCACCAAAAGTATGTCCTGAAAAAAAAAAACAAGGTATAATGCAACTGGATACACTAAGTATTTGTGATGATCTGTACAGTTTTACGAACACATGTCAGAGTGGCAAAGTTGTGTTCAGGTATTAAAGTGGTAAACCCTGCCATATATCCATATGACGTGACTGGCCACGGGGTGATACACAGATGAAACAAATCCTCCTACATAAGGTGTACCTGTTTATCTTCTCAGCTCTCATTTAGTCAAAGTCCAGAATCTATCAAATTTGTTTGAGCGTTCAGAAAAAAGGGGGCAGAGAGCTGAAGTTTCACTCTGCAGAGCTCAGTGAGGACAGCTTTGAGAGCTGATTGGAGGGATGAGACACCCCCCCCTCCACACAGCTCACAGGAACAGATTTGAGGATGTCAATCAGTCTCAGATCCCTCCCCTGTCACCATTTTTCTCTTGGTGTCAGGAAAACCTGTTGGAAGTGATTCATGCTGATAGCAGAGGAACAAAGCAGCAGACAGAAATGATACTTAGTGCTCTTAATTGGCACACTAGAGAGGGACATGTTGTGTTTCTATTTGATGTCTGAGATTTACAACCACTTTAACCACTTGCTCTCCAGAGGATTTACCCCCCCCCCCCCCTTCCTGACCAGGCCATGTAAATTGGGATACGGCGCTGCATTACTTTAATTGCCAATTTAGCGGTCATGCAATGCTGCACCCAAATTAAATTTACGTCTTTTTTTCCCACAAATAGAGCTTTCTTTTCCCAATCCGTGTAAATTAATTGGTTTACATGAAAGTTATAGCATTTACAGATTGCAGTATATATACTGGAATTTAAAAAAAAAAGTTTACTAGTAATGGTGGCGATCAGCGACTCATAGCGAGACTGCGGTAGGCATTCTGACACTGACAGGAACTGACTTGGTGTCACTGACATCCCCAGTGACACGGATACAGTGATCAGTGCTAATAAAAAGCACTGACGCCGTACTAATGGCACTGGGCAGAAAGGGGTTAACATTTGGGGCGATCAAAGGGTTAACTGGGTGCTTTTGTTTTCACTGTGTGAGTGCTTTACACTGTAAGCACACTGCTTTGTATGGCTTTGCTATGCAGAGCCATATAAAGCAGTGTGCAGGAGCTGACAGGGGAGAGATCTGTGTTGTTCATAGACAGGTCACTCCCCCGTCGAAGACACTTGGTGATCTCTGGGTACCAGTGAGAAATCACCGGCTGGGACCCAGTGATTGACAGCCAAGGCCGCGAATGGCTGCATTGGTTAGGGAGTGCACGTGCCCCCTACCTGAAACTGCAAAATCACACATATATGTGATTTTGCGCACATGTGCCGCCCTGTAGCAGTATTTCTGGTTAAAGTGTAGGTAAACTTAGTTTTTTTTCATATTTTACCTACAGGCAAGCCTTTAATAAGGCGTATCTGTAGGTACTGTATATATCTCCTAAACATGCCATCCATCTGCGCATGCGCGGGAGTGACAACATCGCAGCCTGGCCAATCACATTGCCGAAGACCGCATACTATCACTGCCGAGGATGCATACTAGCACATTATACTCTTAGCTTGCAGGGAGAAGATTCTTTAGAAATTTTTTTTTTTTTTCGCGGTTTACCACCGCTTTAACAGTTGTTTTACCCTCCGTCACTAAGGGGTTAATAATACGCTGGTCAGTGAGAGGGATTTGGAGAGACTGATGTCCCTTTTAGTTTCCAGTACCTCCCCTTTAGTTGGGACTTCTCTCAATCAGGGTTCAGGTGCAGAGACATTTAAAACAGAATGAAACTCTCTCAATCAGTATATTTTATTTACTTGTTTAAAAAATTTTTTTTTAACCAGTTGCCGCCCAGCCTATAGCCAGATGGTGGCCGGGAGAACAGCTCATCCCTCCTTTCAGGAACGCGTATTGCGCATGCCCACAGATCGCACTCTGGCAAGATCTGTCACTGGCTGTGTACCTCGGACACGGCCGATGACAGATCTGTGTACTGGCCCCTCTGCCAGTACCATGTGACCTGCTGTGACCAATCACAGTAGGTCACATGACAGTTGTATACAATGTATAAATAAATAAATAAATAAAGTGCAGCGCTAAAAAACAACAAGCAGAAAGTTTGATCTAAAAAGTTTGATCTAAAAAGTTCGATCTTTAACATTCGTTATCAAATGTTCGTCAATTATTCGATACAGTAATAAAGTAGGCACAGCTATGAGGAATCCGGAAGAAATGGCAGAAATGCGCACTCACTGACCGCGCATAGGAAATGCGCATGTGTGTATTAAATTCCGCAGATGTCGATCTCCCTCAGGAAGGGGTGTCATCAAAAGATAGTCTGCTGGGCTCACAGGACCTCCTTAAGATCAGGATGGATCAACCGGGTAAAGACTCCCTCCAGGTGAAGGCTTCCCTCCTCTGGATGTAGTATGTATTGGAAGCTGTGTCTGCTGACCCCTCAATGAGGGGCAAAAAGTGGAAGAGTACCCATAGTGTAGTATGTCAAAATTTTATTGGTAACAAACTCAGTGCAGGGTAAGTCAGTAATGGTGCTGGCAAGTGCCAGAAAACACAAAACGTGCTCAGGGTGCAACAATAAATAATAAACGTAATAAAAGAAATGCTCAGATACATGAATAAAAGAAAGGAAATATATCCCTATGTGAAAAACACCAATCATAATTCACTAAAAACAATTCATAAAATAGTGAATAGGATAGCATAAAATGAATAGGATAGCTTAAAAATCGTAAACTAAATAAAAAGCCCATATTTGTCAATCCTAAATGTACAGTCGATAAAAACCACAAAAAATTAATGAAATAGAGTTGATAAACTTATTAATGGGTGTGCAGGATGCTAATTATTAGCTATAAAGCAATTAACATCGATCTCGATATTGTGTCCCCTAGGGTATAGGGTATCCAATTCATAGACCCATTTTGTTTCTGATTGTGATACGGCTCTGGTTTTATTCATGCCTCTCCAGTGTGGTGATATCACATCAATTCCCACAAACCTAAGGGAGGAGGGGTCATTATTATGGAACATTCTATAATGATTAGAAAGTGACTGTTCCCTGTAGCCCTTCTTGATGTTGGCTACATGTTCTCTTAAACGGTCACAAAGTCGTCTAGTCGTGCGCCCCACATACTGTTTATGGCATGGACATTGGAGGAGCTACACCACAAATTTACTGTTACATGAAATGAACCGGTTGATTGTGTATGGTTTCCCAGTTGTGAAAGATTCAAAGGTATTGATTCTACATTTCCTAATACCATTGTATTTACAGATGACACACTTATTACAAGGGTAAAACCCTTTTAGCTCATCAAAAAATGTGGTGCCAGTCGGCGGGTTCACTACATTTGGTGCTATTTGGTGCCTGATTGCTGTCGCTTTCCGGAAAATAATCTCCGGTTTTTCAGGCAAGATTTTAGACAGTGTGGGATCCAGTTTCAATAAGTTCCAATTTTTCTTTATGATTCCCCCAATCTGTCTAAACTGCGTGGAAAAGGTTGTGACAAAGGGGCAGACCCTTGATTCTATTGGT